AGTGACACTTAACCCTACTGAGTGACACTTAACCCTACTGAGTGAACTTAACCCTACGGGAGTAACCCCACTTAACCTACTGAGTGACACTTAACCCTACTGTGTGACACTTAACCCTACTGATTTGACACTTAACCCTACTGTGTGCACTTAACCCTACTGAGTGACACTTAATTTCCCTACTGAGGGGACACTTAAACCCTATGAGTGACATTTAAAACCCTACTGAGTGACATTTAAACCCCTTTACTGAGTGACATTTTTAAACTCTATGAGGGGACACTTAACCCTACTGAGTGAAAACTTAACCCGACTGAGTGACACTTAACCTTATTTGAGTGACACTTAACCCTAATGAGTGACACTTAACCTCTACTGAGTGACACTTAACCTACTGAGTGACACTTAACCTACTGATGAAACTTAACCCTACTGTGTGCTCTTAACCTATGGTGACATTTTAACTTATGGTGACACTTAACCTATTTGAGTGCACTTAACCCTACTGAGTGACACTTAACCCTCTGAGTGACACTTAACTCTACTGAGTGAAAACTTAACCCTACTGGTGACATTTAAAACCCTACTGATTGACACTTAACCTACAGAGTGACACTTAACTCTACTGAGTGACACTTAAACCCTACTGAGTGACATTTAAACCTACTGAGTAAACTTAACCTATGAGTGACACTTAAACCCTACTGTGTGACACTTAACCTACTGAGTGACACTTAACCCTACTGAGTGACACTTAACCCTACTGAGTGACACTTAACCCTACTGAGTGACACTTAACCCTACTGTGTGACACTTAACCCTACTGAGTGACACTTAACTCTACTGAGTGACACTTAACCCTACTGAGTGACACTTAACCCTACTGAGTGACACTTAACCCTACTGAGTGACACTTAACTCTACTGAGTGACACTTAACCCTACTGAGTGACACTTAACCCTACTGAGTGACACTTAACCCTACAGAGTGACACTTAACTCTACTGAGTGACACTTAACCCTACTGAGTGACACTTAACCCTACTGAGTGACACTTAACCAAACGGGATAACACTTAACTCTGCTGAGTGACACTTAATCTATGAGTGACACTTAACCCTATGAGGGGACACTTAACTCTACTGAGTGACACTTAACCCTACTGAGTGACATTTAAACCCCTACTGAGTGACACTTAACCCTATTGAGTGACACTTAACCCTACTGAGTGACACTTAACCCTACTGAGTAACACTTAACTCTGCTGAGTGACACTTAACTCTGCTGAGTGAAACTTAACCCTACTGAGTGACACTTAACTCTACTGAGTGACACTTAACCCTACTGAGTGACACTTAACCCTATTGAGTGACACTTAACTCTACTGAGTGACACTTAACCCTACTGAGTGACACTTAACTCTACTGAGTGACACTTAACACTACTGAGTAACACTTAACTCTGTTGAGTGGACATTAACTCTGCTGAGGGGACACTTAACCCTACTGAGTGACACTTAACTCTACTGAGTGACACTTAACCCTACTGAGTGACACTTAACTCTACTGAGTGACACTTAACTCTACTGAGTGACATTTAAACCCCTACTGAGTGACACTGAACTCTGCTGAGTGGACACTTAACCCTATGAGTGACACTTAACTTTACTGAGTGACACTTAACCCTACTGAGTGACACTTAACCCTACTGAGTGACACTTAACCCTACTGAGTAACACTTAACTCTGCTGAGTGACACTTAACTCTGCTGAGTGACACTTAACCCTACTGAGTGACACTTAACCCTACTGAGTGACATTTAACTCTACTGAGTGACACTTAACCCTACCGAGTGACACTTAACCCTACTGAGTGACACTTAACCCTACTGAATGACACTTAACCCTACTGAGTGACACTTAACTCTACTGAGTGACACTTAACACTACTGAGTAACACTTAACTCTGTTGAGTGACACTTAACTCTGCTGAGTGACACTTAACCCTACTGAGTGACACTTAACTCTACTGAGTGACACTTAACCCTACTGAGTGACACTTAACTCTACTGAGTGACACTTAACTCTACTGAGTGACACTTAACCCTACTGAGTGACACTGAACTCTGCTGAGTGACACTTAACCCTACTGAGTGACACTTAACTCTACTGAGTGACACTTAACCCTACTGAGTGACACTTAACCCTACTGAGTGACACTTAACCCTACTGAGTAACACTTAACTCTGCTGAGTGACACTGAACTCTGCTGAGTGACACTTAACCCTACTGAGTGACACTTAACCCTACTGAGTGACACTTAACTCTACTGAGTGACACTTAAAAACCCTACCGAGGACACTTAACCCTACGAGTGACATTTAACCCTACTGAGTGACACTTAACCCTACTGAGTGACACTTAACTCTGCTGAGTGACACTTAACTCTGCTGAGTGACACTTAACTCTGCTGAGTGACACTTAACTTACTGAGTGACATTTAAAACCCTACTGAGTGACACTTACCCTACTGAGTGACACTAACCCTACTGAGTGACACTTAACTCTACGGGTTTGACATTTAAAACCCACTGAGTACACTTAACTCTGCTGAGTGACATTTAAACTCTACTGAGTAACATTAAACCCTACTGAGTGACACTTAACTTACTGAGTGACACTTAACCCTACTGAGTGACATTTAACTCTACTGAGTGACATTTAAACCTACTGAGTGACACTTAACCCTACTGAGTGACACTTAACTCTACTGAGTGACACTTAACTCTACTGAGTGACACTTAACCTACTGAGTGACACTTAACCCTACTGAGTGACACTTAACTCTACTGAGTGACACTTAACTCTACTGAGTAACACTTAACCCTACTGAGTGACACTTAACTCTACTGAGTGACACTTAACCCTACTGAGTGACACTTAACTCTACTGAGTGACACTTAACCCTACTGAGTGACACTTAACCCTACTGAGTGACACTTAACTCTACTGAGTGACACTTAACTCTACTGAGTAACACTTAACCCTACTGAGTGACACTTATCTCTACTGAGTGACACTTAACCCTACTGAGTGACACTTAACTCTACTGAGTGACACTTAACCCTACTGAGTGACACTTAACTCTACTGAGTGACACTTAACTCTACTGAGTGACACTTAACTCTACTGAGTGACACTTAACTCTACTGAGTGACACTTAACCCTACTGAGTGACACTTAACTCTACTGAGTGACACTTAAACTCTAGAGTGACACTTAACTCTACTGGTACACTTAACTCTATGGTACACTTAACTCTACTGAGTGACACTTAACTCTATGAGTGACACTTAACTCTACTGAGTGACATTAACCTACTGAGTGCCCACTTAACTTACTGAGTGACACTTAATCTACTGAGTGACACTTAACTCTACTGAGTGACATTAACCCTACTTGAGTGACACTTAAAATCTATTGAGTGACACTTAACTCTACTGAGTGACACTTCCCCTACTGAGTGACACTTAACTCTACTGAGTGACACTTAACTCTACTGAGTGACACTTAACTCTACTGAGTGACACTTAACTCTACTGAGTGACACTTAACTCTACTGAGTGACACTTAACTCTACTGAGTGACACTTAACTCTACTGAGTGACACAGTGGCAACGATGTGCTCATGACAATTTTCTTTTCAATTCAATTCAAGTTTATTGTCTATAATGGTTACAATGTGGGGTTTACAGGTTTTGGGTATTGTGTGGTTTACATGTTATAAAATACTAATTACAGAGGGGGCCACTATGACACCTAGCATGGCTAGGCATTTCCAGCAGACTTAGATTAATTCTTAATATTAAATCCTTACAGATTATGGTATTAAGGCTAAGTGACTACATTAAAAATTTGTGAGTTTAGCAATGTGAATGCCTTTGTTTTGGCACAATACAAAGTGTCTATATTGGAGTATCATAGGCAAAATTATGCTAGTTAGGATTTTTTATTTTAAGATTTTAAAATTAGTATTTCTGGGTTTACAGTCAGTGGGTGAGTGAGGGGTTTAATTTTTTAACCACCAGGTGGTTATTATGTAGTTAGTTGTCGGGGTGGATCAGGGAGATAAGATGCTTTCTAACTGTAGTTTTGAAAGTGATGAATGTGTCTGCAGTTCTAGAGTTTTCAGGTAGGGTGTTCCAGATTTTAGGTCCTTTGAAATACTTGAAATTTTGTAAAAGGTTTAGTCGAACACGGGGAATGTCATAGAGATGTTTGTGTCTGGTGTTATGCATGTGGATCCTGTCACAACTATCAAGAAAGCGTTTTAGGTCAAGGTTAGTATTGGAATTTAAGGTCCTGTAGATGTAGATTGCACAGTAGTAAGTGTGGATGTACTGAACAGGGAGTAAGTTTAGATCTATGAAGAATGGGGGGGGGGAGGGTTGCCAGGGATGGGATTTAGTGATTATTCTTACTGCGGCTTTTTGTTGGGTTATCAATTCAACCAAATATCATTTAAGCCGAGATTGTTCTCCTTTTGAAAAAGTAAACATCGGCTGATGCCGGTGGAGAACTTTTGATCAGAGGAACTGGAGCTTCTCTACCTTTATTTGATTTAAACCTCATTACCTCTCATTACCTAGGTGCTTGTGGCACCTATGGGCCTGCAGTAAATACAATTCAATTATTCTTGGAATTTAATAATAATAATAATAAAAAATTATAATAATAATAATAATTTTAATAATAAAATATAATAATAATAATAATAATAATAATAATAATAATAATTTAAAAATAATAAAATATAATAATAATAATAATAATAATAATAATAATAATAATAATAATATAATAATTTAATAATAATAATTTAAAAATTTTAATAATAATAATTTTATTGGTATTAATTATAATTATTGTCAATATTATTATTATTATTATTATTATTATTATTATTATTATTATTATTATTATTATTATTATTATTATTAATTTCAATACTCACAGCATTTTTCTCCCTTGGAGCAACCCTTGGCCTTAACTCTGGTGCACTTATACGACTTGGATCTGCAAATTCCACCATGCTCACTGCACGCATTTTTCTCCGTTCTACCGACTGCCCCTTGAGTTTCGCTGACCAAGTCCTCACAACATATCTCTCCTTTGGAGCATTCCTCGGCTTTAACTCTCTGGCACTTGGACTTCTCCGATATGCACCTTCCGCCCAGCTCCTCACAGCCTATCTTCTTTGTCTTCTTCCTCTTCTTAATCATTCTTCTTCTGCCAACTAGTTTTTTAGATTTACCAGAGTCCTCGCAGCATATTTCTCCTTCGGAACATTCTTCAGCTCTGACTGTCTGACACTTGGACTTCTCCGATACGCACTTTCCACCGCTCGCCTTGCAAGTCGTAATTTTCCTTAGTGTTGGGTCTGCACTGACAGGACTTGTTTTCTTCACTTTCGTTTGAATCTTCTGCGGTTTTTTTAAGATCTTCATTTTATTGTCTTGCTTTTTTTTCTTTCGTTGAAGCCTTTTGATCTTTACGTCTGTCCGTTTACTGGCTTTTTGTCTCCTTGTTTTGTTATCTGCAGAAGAAAGAATATTGTTACTAGCATGAATTTTGTATTGTTTAATTTGTGCCTGCACAAACACACACACACACCAACAAAGAAGCGGGGCCAGGAGCTGTGAATCGACCCCTGAAACCACATATAGATGAGTACATACACAAGAAAACGCGAGACTGAAAAATTTGAGGGTAGCTTTCAGGAATATGAACAAGGAGGCATTCACCACCTTTAATACGCGTGTCATGTCAGGCCCATCTTGGAGTATGCAGGGAAGAAACAGAGAAAGAGGTTAGAAAAGAAGAGAAAGAGGAAATAGGAAAAAAAACAACATTCATCAATAAGAAATAATGATGGGAAGACAAAAGAAGGAGGTGTAATTTCATTAATTCATGCAAAAGGAAACATAAGGTGAGAAAACAGAAGAGAGGATTGTGGAATTAGAGGTAGAAGTTAGGCAAGAGTCCCATGAACTCACGGGGGTCCCCTGGAAACAAGAAACTACTAGAGAATAAACTCACGAGGCCCTAATGGGAACAAAAATCTGCTGGAGAATGAATTCACGAGGGCCCCCCTGCGAAGGAGAATCTCCTAGAGAATAAATGTACGAGGGCCCCATGGGAACAAGAATCTCCTAGAGAATAAACATCAGAGCTCCCTGGGAACAAGAATCTGTTGGAGAATGAATTCACAAGGGACCCTGGGAACAAGGATCTCCAAGAGGATGCTCTATTATATTTATTATTCTTGAGGAGACTTGTGAATTAAACTGGACAAAATGTAGACAGAATAAGAAAGAAGCTGCGAATGAACTGCTGTTTGAAAACATCGCAGCAATAACAGTAAATAATTTCCGGGAATTTTACGAACAGGGATTTATGTCGGGGATAGAAACCGGTCATTTCACACCCAGTACGCAACAAAAGAAAATAAATTAGTGAAAGAGAATTAAGTATATCAGCGCGATCATATATGATTCTATTGGTGTTCAACATTTACTTTCAAAAAGCTAGAAAATAAAGACGTTAGGGCAACAATCATGATATACTAATAAAAAAAAGAACTAGAGAAAGTTTCCTTTGCAGACTTTCCTTCCCACAAGTGATGCTGATTGCTCAATAATATTATGTCTCAGCTGTAAGAGATGATCTTAGTGCTCAGTTACCATAAAACAGTTTGTGATCACTATTTAGCAATATGATATGCTATAAAATATATGGATACGCAACAAGATGTATGGATATGCAACAAGATGTATGGATATGACAACAAGATGTATGGATATGCAACAAGATGTATGGATATGCAACAAGATGTATGAATATGCAACAAGATGTATGGATATGCAACAAGATGTATGGATATGCAACAAGATGTATGGATATGCAACAAGATGTATGGATATGCAACAAGATGTATGGATATGCAACAAGATGTATGGATATGCAACAAGATGTATGGATATGCAACAAGATGTATGGAGATACCATTACCATGATGGATACAAAGTTCATATTAGAATTCATCAGCTTAAATATTACGGATCTCTCTTTATTTATATATCTTAATTTCTTTGCCTTAGCATTTTATAATAAACAGTTAAAATCACTTGACTTTCTGGTCACTTTGAATGTTTATTGAAATATGGACTGAAATTCGTAAACTGATATTTACTTAAAAAATATCTCAAAACAGTATTCTTTACAAATGAAATTTAAATATATCGAAATATATATTTCATTTAACATTGAGGGTACGCACAAAAAAATTAATATATAAAAATTAGAAGTTCTTTTTACCATTTCTTTTTTTTGATAAACTTTTTGTGTTTTCCCAAAAGACTTATTTGCCCCATTTCAGAACTTATTCAGACCCAAAACCTGAGTTTCTACTTTGAAGAATTTGTTGGGGTCTCTATATCATTGTTATTGCTGTAAAAATAATAATACCCTTCTCAAATTTGCCTTTCTAATTCTGGGTAAATCCATATCACAATGGCTTTTAAAAATTTTCATGAAATCCCTTTTTCTTTAAAAATTAAATCCAAATTTTTTTTACCTCATGTTAAAAGGAGTTTCTTTTGTTTGGAGGGGGGGCTAATAAACCTTGTCTTCAAAGTTTTTTTAAAGTTTTTCCAAATTAAGGAAAACCTGACTTACCTTAAACAAAAAAAATGCATATATTATTGACATTAAACAGGGGAAAAACATATTAAAAACAAAATTGATCCCTTAACCCTCTGTTACACTAACCCCGATACATTTAAACCCACGAGGACACAAACCTTACTGGTACCTTAACCTACTGGGACATTTACCCACGGGTGACACTTAACCTAGGTGAACTTAACCCAACTGAGTGACACAAACCCCTTTACGGGACACTTAACCCACTGATTAACATTTAACCTACGATACATTTAACCACTGAGTACACTTAACCACTGATGACACTTAACCCTACTGATGACCTAACCCTACTATGACAACCCAACTGGACACTAAACCCTACTGAGTGACACTTAACCTAATTTACCTTAACCCTACTAGTGACCTTAACCTCGATGACATTTAACCCTCTGATGAAAAATTAAAAAAACCCTTCCCTACAGAGTACACTTAACCTAGAGTGACACTAAACCCTACGGGGACATTTAAACCCCAAATTGACACTTAAATTTCCTTAAATGGTACACTAACCCCTACTGAGCCCCCCGGACACTTAACCTCTGGTGCCCTTTAAAAACCCACTGGAGTACACTTAACCCTACTGTTTAATTAACCCACTGGGAACCCCTTAACCCTATGAGTTTGAGTGCATTAACCCTACTATGACACTTAACCTAAATGACACTTAACCTACGAGTACATTTAACCCTAGATGACACTTAAACCCTTTCCCCTATTTTGACACTTAACCCACGAGTGACACCCCCTTATATGACACTTTCTTACCAAAACCCTAAAAGTAAAACTTAACCCACTGTGCATTTAACCCCTTTTGGGAGTGACATTTAACCCAAAGACATTTAACCCTACGGTACACTTTTTTTTTTTTTTGGGAAAAAAAAATATTTTTTTTTTTTTTTTTTAAAAATTTATTTTTTGTTTTGAAAACCCACGAGTGACATTTAACCCACTGATACACTTAACCCTACTGAGTCCCTTAACCCTACGGGTGACATTTAAAACCAACGATGACACTTCCCCAAAGATGCCCCTTAACTCACTGGGACATTTAAAACCCTACGATTGACATTTAAAACCCTAGGGAAAAAAAAAAACATTTAAACCCAGGGTACATTTAAAAACCTACGGGTTCATTTAACCCATGAGTGACCTTAACCAAAGAGTGACATTTTAACCCTACTGGTGACCTTAACCCTATGAGACACTTAACCCTACTGGGACATTTTCCCTAGATGACACTTAACCCTACGATGACCTTAACCCACGAGGGGCCCTTTAACCCCAAATGATGACATTAAACCTCTGAACACTTAACTCTACAGGGACCTTAACCCTATAGTGACACTTAACCTACTGATGCACTTAACCCTACAAGTGAACTTAACCACTGATGAACAAACCCTACGAGTCATTTTAAACCCTACTAGTGACACTTCCCCTACGGTAACATTTAAACCGCTGGTGACACTTAATCATGGTGACACTTAACCCATGGGGGAAAACTTAACTCACTGAGTGAATTTAACCCTATGAGTACACTTCCCCCTACGATGCATTTAAACCCCTTTTGAGTGACACTATCCTACTGAGTGACATTAACCCTACGTAACACTTAATCCTGGGGCACTTAACTCTCGAGTGAAACTTAACCCATGAGTGACACTTAACTCTACTGAGTGCACTTAACCCCTACTGATGCAAACCTTTGATGACATTAAACCTACTGAGGGGCATTTAACCTACTAGTGACATTAAACCCCTATGGTGACACAACACAAATAAACACTTAACTCTGTTGAGTGACACTTAACCTCTGGGCACTTAACCCTACGAGTGCACTAACTCACTGAGTGACATTTTAACCCTACGAGTGCATTTAACTCTACGATGCACTTAACCTACTGAGTACATTTAAACCCCAAAGGGGTGACACTAACTTCTATGACCAAAACCCTAGGTGCATTTAACTTACTGATGCATTAAACCTACTGATGACACTTAACCCCTACGAGTGAACTTAACCTAAGAACTTTTAACTCTCTGAGTGACAAAACCTCGAGTGCACTTAAACCCACTGAGTGCCCTTTAACCCTAGAGTGCATTTAACCCTACGAGGACACTTAACCTACGAGTGCCAAAACCCACTGAGTGACACAAACCCTACAAATGCACTTTTTAACCCCTACTAGGACTTTTATCTTACTGAGGACACTTAACTTATGGTAACCTTAAAATCTGTTGGACAAAACTCTCTGATGACACTTAACCCTAGATGCACTTAACTCTACTAATGCCCTTTAAACCCTACAAGGACACTTAACCTACTGGTGAACTTAACCTCTGGTGACACTTAACCCCTACTGGTGCACTAACTCTCGAGGACACTTAACCCTACTATTTGCACTTAACTTACTGAGTGAATTTTCCCTAGAGTGACACTTAACCCTGAGTGACACTTAACCCAACTGATAAAACATTACCTTCGAGTGACACTAACCCTGAGTGACACTTAACCTACGAGTGACACTTAACCCCTACGAGTGCCTTAACTCTACTGATGACACAAAAACCCCCCGAGGCCTTAACCCACGATTACACTAACCCACTGAGTGACACTTAACCACTGAGTGCACAAAAACCCAGTGACACTTAACCTCTGATGCATTTAACTCTCGAGTGACATTTAAACCCCAACTGAGACACTTAACCCTGAGTGAATTTACCCTACGATGAACAAACCCTACTGAGGACACTTAACCACTGTTGACACTTAACCTACTGAGTAAACACTTAACCTCTATGCATTTAAACCCTACTGAGTAAAAAACC